AMYTTATGATTCCTTCAAACCTGACTTCTCTGCTGATCCCATGATCTCTGAACCAAACGCTCTGATACTAATTGTTGCGAAAAAAAAATAGATAAATCGATCCTCCTGTAAGTTCTTCAAACAAGAACTATTTGATTTTCCCCTTCCACAAGCTAAAAGCAGATAAGTAAGCAACAATAACAAAGGAATAAGAGATATGGATAGAAAAGCTTAACACCACAGGGATTATATTGGTTCGCCCCTATCTTGGGACTAGGTCCAGTCTTCTGTGGAAAAGCAGGTTCAACTATTGTTGGGAATATTACAATGGAAATCTCACTCAAGATATTACTGTCTTGCTTCTAAGTACCCTAACAATAGCTACCTAGGATTGCACAATTGGAAATACCCTCACTAAACCCACGAGATACAAACTTTTTTTTCATACACTGCCCACAACCACTTAAGTCTCTCTTATTTGGATTCTGTACAAATGAAACCTTAACAAAAGGGTTCTATTTATATGAGGTCAAATATCCTAATTCTTATAGGAATTGGTAGTAGTGTTGAAAGTCATTTTCCTCATAGGACACGAGTCATCTGTTTTGGCTCCATTATCCCAACAGATTCTGCTGGTTTTGTGAGGTGGCTGATGATTGAGCATTTGTTGCTGACTGTGTTGAAAATGTAGCTAGTGATGTGGCTTTTGTTGTATCCTTCATTTTATTAGATGTTACAGGAAAATCAACCAATGAGCACTAAGGAGTGTGGTACCGCAACCCCTCTCAAAGTAAATGTAAAGCCTCTCTTACAACTTTAATGAAAAGAAATTAAAATGAGCGCAAAAAGGTCAAACACAGTTGCTAGCATAGCATCAAAGAGAGCCATCATAGACGAGAAAGTGGGAGTTCGGACTGGGTAAACGTGCTCGTAGATATTGATGAAAACTTTTGGAAAACATATAAAAATTCTTTAAATGAACAAATAAACATTATACTTTTTTAAATGAGATTTAAATTCTTGTTATTAGTATTATGTGTATATTTTAATGATACTTTGTTAATATTTTCTAATAGTTCGTTGATTTTTTTTACCATGTAAAATGGAAAAATTGATTCACCCCTTATGTCAATGTCGAGCCTATTGATATACGGAAATGTCAACATGTTGCTGATAAATTTATATCCAATATTTGTAATATACGTAGAAACTTATTCCACTTGTATTAAGACTTGGGTGACTTATTATTACCTTCTTTTCAAATTAAAGGTTCATTTTGAGCTTAGAAAACATAAAACAAAAGAATACTCATGAATTCGAAAGTAACGAACAGGTTTTGATACTATTATGATCTGTTTACTTTTGATTTTGGTTTATTTTAATATTTGTACTTCCAAAACGTTCATTTTTGTTAGGGTTATTGCATTGGGTGGCAAATAAGTTTTAGGTATTTAACAATATAGCACCCACTTATCAAATTTTCAAATATAGCAATTTTTACAGGATTCTGATTTTGAATTTTTTAGTATTCCCAAATTGCCCTCATCATATTTATCACGCGTTTTCGTTCTCTCTCAGATCATCGTCTTCTTCGTTCGTCTCTTCTTCGTGCTTCTTCGTTCTCTCTCGGATCATCGTCTTCTTCGCGCATCTTTGTTCTCTCTTGGATCATCGTCTTCTTCGTTCGTCACTTCTTCGCGTGTCTTCGTTCGTTCACCAGGTATCAATTTTAGCTTCTTCATTTGTATTCATTCGTTCATCAGGTATCAATTTTAGCTTCTTACTTCGACTTCGTTCGTTCATCAGGTTTCCATTTTAGCTCTTTCGATTTTATTTCTTCTTTTTCTTCGATTTTGTTCGTGAAGAACTTTCAGCCTTTGAGGAACTTCTGTCCGTTTTAATAAGGCAGATTTCGAAAAGAAGAATTTGGACTTCTTGAGGGACTATTATAATTATATTTAGTTTTTGTTCTTTTCTTCTTCGATTTTGTTCGTTTCTGAGGTCTTGATTTTAGTTTTTCTTCYTCTTCTTTCGAATTTAAGCTTAATTTTAGTTATTGGTGTCTGATTTTGGGCGAAGGATCACCCATTAAGATTGTGGAGAACCTACTTGAATTTTAGGTGAGGTATATCACCTAAATCAGTGAGGTATATCATACTGATATACTTCCATTGAATATGAAGTATATTAGTGAGGTATATCATAGATATTTTACGTATATCTATAACTGATATACTCCATATAGATATTAAATATATCGTATGTCTGCGGCTTATGTTATGTTATTTGTTGATTGATATACTAATATCATTAATATTTTATATTTTTGCAGTGTTTGTAGTTATGGGCAAGCTTGCAATAATTGTTTTTCATAGTGGTGAATGGGATGATAGTCATTGCTATATGAATTACAAAACTATTGGGATTTTGGTTGACGAAGATATGAATTTTCAAAATTTTAGGAATTTGATATTGAATGAAGTGAAGTTAGATCCATCAATTTGTTTTGTCCAATTTTCAGTTTTATTAAAGTTTGGTAGTAATGGAGTTCAAACTGTTGTTGAGATTAATGAAGATAAAKATGTTGCTTGGTTTTTTACTTTGGTTAAGGATGACAGCACAAGATATCCTTTAGTTGCTCATGTAAATGCTATGCCTTTGGAGGAGTCTAGTGTTATTAATTCTGGAAGTGAGAATTTAGGTATGGTTGTTGCTTCTTCTGCTATAATTGAAAGAGATTTTCAAGTTTATAACGATGTTGATATTACTAGTATGTCTTCTGCATTTTATCTGAAGGAGAAAGATCTATTTTCAAATAAAGAAGTTTTGTCAAAAGCTTTTCACTTTATGGCTATAAAGAATAGCTTTCAGTTCAAAACTTTGAGATCAAATTTCAAATGAGTTGAGTTTGAATGTGTTCAGAATGGCTGCCAATGGTATGTTAGAGCATCTCGTTATAGAGGTAGTGAACTATGGATGATTAGAAAGTATGTTCGTGATCATAATTGTCGTATGACGATAATTCAATCTTCTCATAGACAAGCTTCATCATCTTTTATTGGTGAATGTATGGTTGAGAAATTTAGATTCAGTTCTTCTGATCGTTCGACTCCGAAAGATATCATTCATCATATGCGCACAAACTATGGAGTTGGTGTTAGTTATTATAAAGCTTGGAGGGCAAAAACAACTGTTAATAAATTGTTGACAGGAGATGCTGATGATTCTTATGCATTGATTCCGAAGTTTTTTGTGAAGTTGAAAGAAATGAATCCAGGTTTGTTTTCTTTAATGATATACCAATAATATATGCTTCTGATATATATATAATATGTATGGGATGATATATCTTCTTGATTTTATTATGATGTAGGTGTTCTGATATACTGTTGATATACTACTGATATATATTTGATTATACTACTGATTATCATATCTGATTTTAATATCTTGACATGTTGCTGTGATATATTACTGATATATTTGACGTGTTGATGTGATATATTATTGATATATTTGATGTGTAATGATATTTTACGCAGATGCAATAATTTTATTTATATTATTTTTGTAAGTACATACATTGCATATGAAATTGATAAGACTAGTCATTTTAAGTATTGTTTCATGGCTCTAGGTGCATCTATTGAAGGTTGGAGGTATTGTAGACCTAATATATCTGTTGATGGACATTTTTGACAAGCAAATATGGTGGTACATTATTGACTGCCTCAACGTGCGATGGTAACAATCAGATTTTCCCTCTTGCTTTTGGTATAGTAGATTCAGAAAATGATGCATCATGGAGATGGTTTTTTCAAAATTTAAAGAACAGTTTTGGAGATCGAGAAGGATTAGTTATCATTTCTGATCGTCATTTAAGCATTGGAAAAAGTGTTCTAAAGGTTTTTCCATATGCTCAATATTGTGTTTGTAAGCGACATCTGTTGAAGAATTTGAAGTTGTCATACAAAGACTCCTTGATTGATAAACTTTTTGAAAACTGTGCCAAATCCTACACAACTAATGATTTTGAGTTAAATATGAGGTTGATGGAGTCAATATATCCTACTATACGAGAATATCTTAGTAATGTTGGATTTGAGAAATGGGCTCGTGCACACACTAAAGAAAGAAGATATCAAATGTTGACAACTAATATTTCTGAGAGCCTAAATGCAACTTTGAAAGAGTCAAGAGATTTACCTGTTGCATCACTACTTGATTCAGTTAGACAATTACTTCAAAGGTGGTTTTATGATAGAAGTAAATCAGCAGCTTCTCTGAATAATTTTTTGAGTCCTTGGGCTTATACTGAGATACATAAACAATTTAATGAATCCAAAAGTTTGGTGGTAAGTGTTTTTACTTTTTTATTATTTAATAATGTTTATTTTTCTTTCACAACCTATTTTTATTATTATTTTTTTCTTTTTTTCAGGTTGATCCTATCAACAACGTTGAATTTCAAGTAATTCATAAAGCGGATAATTTTTTGGTAAATTTGGGTTCTAAAAGTTGCACTTGTCATGTTTGGGATTTGGAAGAAATTCCTTGTGTCCATGCACTTGCAGTTATTTGTAGGATTGATTTGAATCCTTATTCATATGTGTCTGAGTATTATCTGTCTAGTAGATTGTTATTTACTTATAATGGTTCAATTCGTCCTGTCGGTAACCA